GGCACACTCCCTTCATTTGTCCTGTGAGGTGATATTCCACCTATGTGAATGTTGGAAGAAGTTCTACCAGCGTAACAAGTTTTGAAAGTTAAATATAGACTTGTAGCAAAGTAGTTAATGGAGTAGGAAGAAATGCAAGAAAAAAAGGAAAAAGAAGTAATGTGATTGTGGATTTTCATATTCAAACATTGAACAAATGATGTAGCCACGTTAAACTTAAAGTTATCAGAGTAAATCTGTTAATAGAAGATATATACATACATAAATCCTGTGCTGTGTTTCTTTGTTTATAATTTCTGTTTATGGCAGACAACTGGTAGCACTACTCATTCCACCTTCAGTAAAAGATGTCAACTGAATGAGACACCTCGATCTGACTTTTTTCCTCTTAACATAGGCGGTTTAGGTCCCTACCAATGTGACCAGGCCTCTCTACCCAGAGTGATATCTTAAGGGTTACTCAGCCAGTCAAATTTATATCCAGGAGGTAACCTTCCCTCGGTTGAAATGTTCATAAAAAGGCTTCCCTTTGAAGTTTGAAATATAAAATAGTTTAGCATTTGCAACCCTGATTCATTTTTTTAGACAGAACTGTGTTTCCAGGACCTCACCATGCTACTATCATTAAATTAAATAGAAACAGGTGGTTTAGCATTTTGCAGCTTGGATTCAGTGTTTCCAGTGTTTCCAGTGTTTCTCTTTTGTTTGAAACAAAAGGGAATGTTTGGAATATAGTAGCAGATTAATTTCAGCATTATGGTAATAAGGTTAATATCCCATTGATGTCCCCATATAACAATTTTTAAATTTAAATATTAATATAATACATTTATAAAGATTTTATTGTTAGCAGGTTACCATATTGTTACCATAATATTTTGCCTCATTGCTTTAAATGTGTTTCCCCATTATTTCCTTTGTTTTTGTCTACTTGTTACATAAATGTTAGTCTAATATTACCCAGATACACCTGTTGTTAAAACTATGCTGTCACCTGGTTATGACAGTGGTAATTGCTAGATTAATATTGATATTGAAATTGATATTGATATTGATGTGAATTAATTCCAGTTCACATCCATGATATTGTAATCATGTAAACCTTTTAGCTTCTGTGAAAGACCACATGTATTAGGCTAAGGCCTATTATATACCGGAACAGAATGAAGGATGACTTGACTCACTGGGGATACATGGCTCACTACCATGGCATACGCCCTTCTTTTGTACTGTGAAAAAAGGTGCAGGTGCATTCCACCTATATGATTGTTGGTTCCACCAGTGTGGCAAGTAATAACAAATAATTATGTGTGAGTGGTTATGGAGTTGGAAGAGTGAAAGCAAAAAGAACCAGAAGTAATATGATTATGTAAATGCATATTCAAATATTTTGAACAAATATTGTATATGATAAATTGAGAAAACATGCAAATAGATGATATAATATAGTTACAAGTACAAAACAGTATTGATGTAAAAGCATAATTTCCTCATACTCCTCTGAGTAAGTGCAAATCCATGACATTAATATAATACAGTAAGAAATCACTATATTTACTAAATGGTAAATATCTGCCTATATATTGCTTCCAACCTCCGTTGTGTAAAATACAGAATTTTTATAGGTTAACAATTGCAGCATATTATTGTAAATACATGTAAACTGCAGGTGCTGATTCTTGTTTCACAAGTTGGTTGAGGGGTGTGTTTTCTACTTCACAGCTTTTATACAAACCAATAGTTTGTATGTCCTGCAAATCCATTTGGCAGTCCCTTTTCTATTCACTGGCAGTGGAGCACAGTAAGGCATTGAAGATTAACAATACTGTTAGGTGAACGTGTAAAATCAGGTTTTTCTTGTTCATGACGGCTTTATTCTCCAGTGTTAAATTGATATGCAGTTGCAATGTGTCTTGCTGAACTGAAACAAAACAACTAAAGACAATGGTGCAACTCCAAATTGTTATATCATTTGGGTTTAGTCCTCCCTCACTTCCACTGCAAGAATCAAACATGGGGGAAATAGATAAATATTTCATACTCCTTTGGACTGTTAAATGTTTTTGAGTTTGCTTCAGCAGTTCACTTCTGCTCCGGCTTGCTGATAATGTTCATGCATCACTGCTTGTGAAGTCATACTTCTATCTTATGTTAAACAGTTCTTTTTTCCGTTCTGATATCTTCAGCAAATGAAAGTGAAAGTCACCAGGGTGGTTTGTTCTCACTTCAAATTTCAGAATACAAAGGAAAGTACAACAACAGTTCTGATGTACATTTAAAATGATTTGAGAAAACAGAGAAGGTTTTATATCCATACAATCTGCATCTATGGCTTCATTCAAACTGCAAGCTTTAGCTTTTGGTTGTTCATATTATTTTTCCTAATGTAGCCCATATTAAATTCCAGTGTGAACAGGCAATGGTCCTGAAGTCCTGAATTCTGATATGATCACACTGAGGTCACATTGCAAAAAATCAGAACTTTATCTGAGTTGGATGAAATGGAGTAGTCTATTTCACATTATGTCGCAAGCCACACCAACCTGAATTAATTTTGGCTTCACTTCTCACATTCATTTTCCTGGAGCAGAAAGTACTTCTGTCATGAAACTTTCAGTGATCATGGAGAAACACACTTTTAAGGTGTGATGGCTCCGCCTAGGAGATGAATATGGGTATACTGTGTTGGAGCTATGTTGCTAACTTAGCAATCCTAGGTTACACTGCCCAGAATGGGAACTCTGGAGGAGTGTTTGTGTAACATTTACATCTCTAGAACAGGAGCTCTGGACTTCAGAAGGAGCCCCCAACACTCCGGTGTCGATATATAGACCGTTATATCCACCTACATCATGTATATAAAGAAACCTGCTACGTAATAATATAAATAAAAATAATATCTATATCACTGCACTCTGCACCATTGCACTACTTCTTACTGTCGACAAATATACAGAGCAACATAAACCAGATTTAAATTCCTTGTATGTATCCACTTACCTGGCCAATAAAAATTATTCTAATAGATTTTTTAGGTGGATAAAATACATCTTGCTGCTGCCCCCATCCACAGGTGTACATTGCTTAGCATCTATGGTACTACTCCTTCCAACTGGCGCCATGCCGACCACCATCTGCCTACCCTCTATCTACTGTAGGTAATAGTTAATTAATTAATAATAGTGCCTCATACAAGCCCAATTAAGAATTTCCAAACTAACCTTAGCTAGGATGGGACACAGCAAATGGACAAAACGCTGCTCACAATAAATAAAATAGTATGACCACCACTTTTAAAAACGTCATTGGTCTATGAAAAGGAGTAGTCTATTTCATTATGTCACAAACCATACCAAGTTTGATAAATGTTGGCTTCACTTAAAATGATATTCCTGAAGTAGATAGTACTGAATGTCATGAAACTTTCTGAATTATAAAGAGAAACACATTTTTGAAGGTGTGATGGCTCCACCCTGTGGATAAATATACTTACACATTATGTTCCTCTTCTTTGACAGAACAGTATGTACACTAGGGGTGTTTTCTTTTTTTAACGTATCTAACTGTGGTGCCATATTACAAAAGTAGAATAATTCACAAGATTATTCAATATCCAGTTTAAACATCTCCAGCAAATGTAACTGGATATATCTGGTGAAAAAAAAAAATCCAATACACAATATGTATTAGTTAAACAGATTTTATGCCAGTTCAATTCCCCTTGCTGTTATTCCAAAAAATATTCTGCCATATTTCTGATATATTTTTGAGAAACTTCTGCCAATAGTATATACATTTCTTTTTTTCCTTTTTGTTTTTAAGACACTTTTTAGACTTTTTATGCCATTATTTGACAGGATAGGTGAAAACAGGAAAGAGGGCAAGCCTTAATCAAACCCTGGCGGCAAAGACCCAGTCCATGGGGGGCACGCACTCCATCAGGCAAGCCACTGTGCATACTGGGAATATTCTATTTTCAAATGTATCTATAACTGAGGTATCAGTAGAAAAACATCATTGCATACTCTCTTAATGTAAAAATGTAACTTACAAAGTAAACTGTAGTACCATAATGTCAAACTATTTTTCAAAAAATAAAATATAAAATATTCTGATATTCTAAATGTATTTTAAAACTGGGGAAGTTAAACTAGATGATTTCACAAGTAGCTTCTCAGTTAGAAAGAAGTTTCATTCAATTAGGGAAATTATTTAGGAAAATATATTACAAATGTCCATGTTAATTCATTTTACTATACCAGTTTACTAAAAAACTTACATACTTACGTACAAACTTTACAACCTTATATCTGCACTCAGCGACTTTTATAAAAATGTCTCAAAACAATAGCAGATTGCTGAGTCTCATTCCGCACAGGAATGAGCACAAGGAGGAGCCAGAGGAACCAGACGTTTTTCAGTTTATCTGTCTCAGATACTACTGTCAGCATATTGTGACAGCAAATTTAAAAAATAAATTATTACAAAAGAATATTTTTATAAAGGTTACCTACTGCAGCTTTAAGACAAATCTTTAGGTACAGATGGTACTTGTTCCCAGGGTTCTATGTTACCCAGCAGACTTTTCAAATGGTTTTATGTTCGCAGCAATGTTTTCTTACCAAATAGTGAGGTTCATTGTATGCTTCCTTGGGTCATAGCCTACTGATGTTATACTCCTTGAAACCCATGTCCTCAGATTTGTGGGCAAGACAGTTTTCTTGACTTTAGACACTTCTCCACAGTGGCTGAATGGACAGTCTAATCTCGAACAATATTCAGAAAAGTATCACAGAGAACAGAGAAGACCAGCAGCAGACCATTCAGAATATTTCGGCATTTTTGCTTAAAAAATGACTTCAACAATATATCTCCAGAATTGTTGTGGGTTTATGCAATCATTAGATCTGCTAATCGAATTATTCGCAGCACCTGATAATGATGATTATTACATGATTCTAGTGTAAGATTAAAATTAGGAAATGAGGGACTGCAGAAGGTTTGGTAGTTTATACATATGCCTTTAATAGAAAACATTTTTTTCCTCCACATACCTTATCTTCAAAATGCTGTGCATCACCACATTAAGATTGTAAAATGTTACAGCATAAACAGATTTTTTGTCATCTTCATATTCGTATGTATATTAGGAAGAAAATACACAAAAAAATACACAAAAAAAGAAATAAAGGTAAGCTCTCAGAATACTCATATATATAATAGAAATACAAGTTAATAAGGACTGTGAATGGATAATTATACAAGACATTATTCTTCTGATACAAGGCATTAATGCGTGACACAACCTTCAGCATATATCTGAGTTAGGGTTAGAACAATGAGCACACCATTACATTTTATATAAGTAAGATTGTCAACTTTACTATCTAAGCAACTGATCTTAAAGACTTCATTCTGAAGTCAAATTCCTCAATGGTCTGAATATATTTTTTAGGCAATTTGGATTGAGGGAACAATTTAAGCTTGCCAAACATCTACAATTTTGATTACAGTAGGATTTAGGCATGTTGAGTGAAATACACATTGGTTCTAAATATGATTATAGCACATGGTAGTCGATCATTTAAATGTTAACATGTACAGAAAATATTATGCATGGGGTCATCAATGTAATATGGTTTAATTGCCCTAAGTCTATTTCGTTTACAGTAATTATTTTAGAAGTTATTACCATGTGCTTGAAGTTGGCCACATGATGAATGGACCTGGAGGGTTGCATTGGATCAAGGTGTGTGCAGTCAAGACTGAATAGAAATTCCCTTTCATTTATGTGTCAGGTTACCCCAAGTTTAAATGTAATAAGTGACAGTTTTTCCCAAGTCATTTAGAAATTGAAATTCTCACAAGTGTAATTTTTATTGACAAGAAAATCATTTTTCATATCATTGATAGCAGTTACTTTCTCATGGGGTTCCACAGGGACATCAGCACATAAGCAATTGCTGGCTTGACAGTAGCCATGACAGCAGCACAAGGAAGGACGCAGTGATGAAACTGATCTTGTGGCTTACTCCACTTGAGACCTCTGTAAACAAGAAAAAATAAGATATTGCTTTAACAAACATTTCTGTATATTTACATTTTTGGGTCAGGTAGCATTCAAAACTGCTTACGTATGCCATCCACAATAATGGAGGTGGTGTCAATGTTGAAGGCTGTGATATTTGAAGCTGCTCCAGCCAGAACATCTGCAATCTGAGTGTCATTAGGAACAGAGGTGGATGCAAATCCAAGGTCCATTGTGTTGATGATTGATCCATTTCTGCATAGGAAATTACATAATAATTATATTTCAAGTTTCATGAATTTACAGCCAGTATATTTAGATTATATCAACATAACATAAACAAATTACCTGAATGAAATCACTGTCAATGATCTGAATGAAGAGAATGCTTTTTGGTAGAAAGGTTCGAGCTGCACAAATACAAGAAAACCAATTATGTAGTAGTATGTTTGGGTGGATATATTATTAATTCTGTGCTTTTCCTTCTTTAGTACTATTATTATTTGACATTTATTGGAAGGATAAACCCCTTGAGATGAACCATCTTGTTTTCAAGGGGGTCCTTAACACAAATATACAGAGAATACAATAAATTAAAAAAACAACAAAACAGATACACTCACACACATACAGACAACAGCTCTCCCAGGCCTATCCACTCCTACACCCACCACCCCCTCCCAAAAGGAAAAAAGCCCATAAAACATATAGGGAATATATACATACCCATGTGGAACTATAAACGCATTAAGTATAATTAGAAACAAGAACAGTTAGTTTGAAGGTAAGTAAAAATGGATGTCTTAAAAGAATGAAAGGAGGTAATAGATCTAATTGAACTGGGCAGGTTGTTTCAATCAGATAGAGCTTTGAATTTAAAGGCACGTTGCCCAATCTCTTTTGAGAATCTAGGGACGAGGAAAAAGTGAACTCAATATGCCTTGAACTATATGGTGTATACAATTCAAAGTTATTTCAAATAGGAAGGAAGATTAAAGAAAATATGATATTACATTATATGATATTAAATATTATTAATAACATTGTTCACTTTACTGATTTCAGTACGCTTTTGTCCACTTTCTTTCTGTGTCCTTCATGATCTGTATCGACAGATGGCTCCTTCATGCAACCTTCAGGGCAGTGACCTGTCGTGAGCTGACCAGCTCTCCAATGCTCTTAAGAGCTGGTCATCGACGTGGAAGCTGTTCTGGTGCTGGTCTAATGTACTTTCTTTTGTCTACATTTAGTCGAGCTCCTACTGTAGGTGGGGCTCTTTTTTTTAATTTAATGATATTGATGTTTAAAACATCAAACAACTGTACTCGGCACACTCGCCTATCAAGCAACAGGAAGAATTACTACGTTGGTCATAAAAAAATCTTCTGGTTTGTAAACACAGTGGTACATAGACCAAATCTGGAACCTAGATCTTACAGCTTCTTACAGGTTCCGGTTAATGAAAGCTCCAGGTTACCAGTCATTAAGTTCCTATACTGGAAAAGGCCTAAATGGGAGGTAAAGGCTTATTCTACGTTATAATCTGTTGCTAGATCTCTTCTGACATCTCAATGCTAAAACCTGTGTTACCAAACATTGTGCAGTGTGGGTAAACACCCCAATACATTAAAATATTGGAGGTTATTGTTGTCACAGGTTTCATTTTAAAGGAGGAGACTTACCATCGACTTTATCATTGCAGCTCGATTTATAAATGCTAAAGATGCTGGATTCAGCAAGTCGCTTGTAAATGTTTCTCCAGCAGATCTGAAAGTCAACCTCCGTTTTATGAGTTGCATATTAGTTGTAGCAACTGATGTTACAGCAGTAGTCGATGCAGCAGTAGCTGTAGTTGAACTTGATGTCATATTTGGAGTTCCTGTAAAAACAGTAACAAACCTTGTAAAAAAAAACTAGTAGGCTAATATACAGAGAAAAAAAAGCCTCTACATTTCACGTAAAAGGCTCCACTTACAGTTGTTATTTCTCTTAGTGTCTCATATCTGGATAAAATTAGATGTGACTTATTAACAATCTTTCGTTTGGACTTAAAGTTCATATATGTAACCTTAAGAAAACCATTGTTATTAATGACACCGGTGACTGTTAAATGAACTGCAGTCAACACAATGTTGCTCGGGCTCACACTTGCACTCCTTGCACTGTCTGTAGGTGCAAGCCAGCATCATCCTGGGAATTAGCCAAAAGAGACATACACAAGAATGAACGCTGAAATGAACACTAAATAAATTATAACCATATTTAGAATAATATTACTATCTGTAATGTTCCTATATTTTATTTGGATCCTTGGTTCCATGATACTAAGAAGTTTGGAATATACAACAAAGTAACCAATGCCAAGCCACAACCAGCTGCCTAAACCCACCTTAGCTTATAGGTTACAGTTAGCTAGTTGGCCGCCCCTGCCTTGCATAACTCCAATCGTTAGTTACACCTTTGACTAAAATAAGTCAGCAACATTAACCATTAATGTTAGCATTGACTTGGGACTTATGTTGGACTGTGGTTTGGTGGGTGTGGATTGTTTGTAGACATTCCATTTATAAGTTAACGTTAGGTAATGTTGCTTACTGTTGACACTGTAAGGAAGCGGAGAGAGAAGGAAGTCAGGATCAAGTGTGCATAAATGTTATATCCTTTGGATTTTTGAGAAAAATCTGTTCCACAACCTTTAATTCAGTCCACAGGTTGTTGACCCAGAAAGTTGGGAAAGGTCTAAATTTTGGTAAGTTGTGTTACAATCCGTTCGCAAATTGGCAATTAAAAGTACATAACAAAATAATACTTACAATGCCTCAAATCTTACATGTGGGACATTTAACCACATATCAAACCACCACCCATTGTAGTTTAAAAAAAGTATTGCTTTAATGTACAAACTGGCTAAATGTAAATGGGTAATACAGACCTTTATCGTGGGTTTGGTGGGCTTTAGTGAGTAAAGTCTCAACATGTCATAGCTAGTGGCATGATAAGCATTTTCAGTAATTTCATTATACAGTTTTCGTCTCACAGAATACTCACTGCTGCCAGCCATAAACTGCAGTGTTGAATGGATGTTGTGAAATTAGTTCACAAACTAGGCTACCCCTGTTTCACAATTACTCATAAATCTTGCTTACATATTAGGTTCAGACAGATAAGGACGTTATACCACAATCAATTTGAGCAGATATTCATACTTGGCAAGGCTAGGCAGTAAGTGGGGTATGCAATTCTAAGTAATGCAATTCTAATCTAATACACTTTTTTTCAAATTGAGTGTATATCTGGTCTCCTAGCTTTCCTCTTGGTGTGGGCACTGAAAAGAAAACTGGTGGCTGTACAAAGCACTGACTTGTAAATGTAAAACAAACAAAGTGGATCCGAATCAAGCCACACAAAACTAACTTTACATTCAACCCATTCCAAACAGGGATGTGTGTGTCAGGTAGCTAACATTATTTGTCCACGGACATTAAGCTTACTTTCTAGTTTGCCAAGTTATGATGTTGTTGTGATGTTAGTAGCATGAGAGTTGTGAGTATCGCTGTCTTGAACTGGTGTGCTGGGAAACCGTCTTGTCCCTCTCTGCGTGATTGCTGCACAGCAGCAACTTAACCGGCAATTTGAAACCCCACTAACATTAGTTACATTACTTATGGTGTCATTGTTCGCACAATATCTAGCATTTGTCATGGTATTGGATTTCTTCATAATTACTTACCAACTTACCACCTACCAACTTCTCAACATTCTTTGATGACACACATACTGTGTGTGTCAGTCGTCAATAGTTTTATAATGAAGGACAAATATCTGTATATAAACACTTGTATACTTACGTATGATCTCAATGGAGTTTGTATCAAGAGTGAGGTTGAAGGTGTTGTTTGGGTTCATCAAGGCAAGTTGTAAAGTCTTTACAACATTATTAGCCTGTGGGATTTGATTTGGTGAAGCTGTATTGTTGAACTCGAGTCCGATATCTGCTTGAGTGGTTTCCATGCGTGTCCTTGCTACAACACGACTGCATCAAAAGACATGACTTAATTAAATGATCGATCCAGTTATTATTGCTTTTTTACACACTGAAACATTCTAATATTTAGGACCATAACATACATACATACAGCATACAACATACAAGTACTCTATTTTATCAGTAAGTGTATTCTGAAATTTGTTTTCAAGGCTTGAAATATTACCGAAATCTAATGACAAAAGTGCGGATGAAAAGAAACCCATATCTTGCTCTGTAGATGATGTCACACTGTGAAAAGGAAATACATGGATAAATATTGAGTAAACTGAAAAGTGACAAAGTGACACAATTAAATAGAATAGAATGCCAAATTCACCTAAAATGCAATCAAAATAATGAGGAACTTTTACTCACCACTGTTACAATTTGTATTTCAAGATTTCTGTATTGTACACTGCTTGGATTATTGAATTCTTCAACAAATGGTTCTTCCAGGGTGGCTCCAAGAACAAAAACTGGTGGGGGAGTTGTGGTAACTGCACCATCTGATCCACCAGGACTAGTTGTTCCTAAAGATGTAACTGATCCATCAGTTGGAACCAAAGGACCAGCTGTGGTGACCCTCAGTTGACCAAAGGACACAGCTGTTGTCATGACTTGTGCTTGAACCTCCAACTGTTGTGGACAGACCGATTGCTGTTGACCCTCCTGTTGCAGCAGAACTGCCAGTTGTTGTTGACCCACCAGGTGTCATTGATGCTACAGTTGTCATTGGCCCACGACTTGTGGTTGAACCTCTAGTTGTTGTTGACCCACCAGGTGACACTGATGCTCCAGTTGTCGTTGACCCACGACTTGTGCTTGAACCTCCAGGTGTTGTGGACCCACCAATTGTTGTTGATCCTCCTGTTGCAGCAGAACTGCCAGTTGTTGTTGACCCAGCATTTGTACTGGATCCAATAGTACTTGTTGACCCACCAGGTGTCATTGATGCTACAGTTGTCATTGGCCCACGACTTGTGGTTGAACCTCCAGCTGTTGATGACCCACCGATTGTTGTTGACCCTCCTGTTGGAGCAGAACTGCTGGATGATGTGGACCCAGCATTTGTAGTGGACACACCAATTGTTCTTCCTGTATTAGTTGTTGTTGTCAAAGATAATAATGTTGAAATGTTAAAAGTTAAACTTCACAAAAATTGGAACTTCACATAGGGAAATTTCAATACATTAAGAACTGCTTTAATGGAGTGAGGATAAATAGTGATATTGAAGTAGTTAGCATATTGCCAACCATTGATATTCCGTGATGGAAATTTAGGTTTACATGTTAAATGTTTACTTACGAATTACTTTGATGGAGGCTGGATCGATACTGAGGTTGAAGTTGTTGTTTGTGTTATTCACAGCAACTCTCAAGGTTTCTGCAACAACATCGGCCTGTGGGATTTGATCGGGTGATGCCGTGTTGTTGAACTCGAGCCCCACCTCTGCTTGGATGTATCTCATTTGTGGCCTTGCATCACAAAAGTACATTTCTTTAATCAACCGGTTTTATTTTAAAATATCACGTTTGCTAAACTTTGACTTTACATTTTTTTTCTAATAATTCACTCAAATTCTTTATTACACATGACCAATTCCCACAAGATCCTTCTCTAGCTATGAGTTGATTAACTTTAGGTCAGAGACTTAAAGGGGGAAAACGTTACCGAAATTGAATGACAAAGGTGCGGATGAAAAGAAGCCTGAATCTCTCACTGAAGATGAAGTCGCACTGTAAGCGGGAAACAGTGGTGAGAAACATGAAGCATAAAAGTCACAGGGCTTTTTAAGTGAAATCAAACAGAATTTAAAGTTGAGTCAAACAGCAACAATTGTTAGAATTTACTTAAAATTGTACGTACGATTGCTACAACTTGTCTTTCAAGATTTCTGTATTCCGCGCTGCTGCGATTGTTGAGTTCTTCTACAAATGGTTCTTGCAGGGTTGCTGTGAGAAGCACAACTGGTGAAGGAGCTGCAGTGATTCCAGTTGTCCTTGGCCTTGTAGTTGTTGTTGATCCTATAGGTGTAGATCAGTGAATGAGGAGTCAAGGTAAACATTATTTGGCAAATTGCCAAGCACTGATACTTTGTGGTGGATATTTAGGTACACGTGGTAAATGTTTACTTACGAATGACTTCGATGGAGGCTGGATCGATACTGAGGTTGAAGGTGTTGCTTGCGTTATTCACAGCAACTCTCAAGGTTTCTGCAACAACATCGGCCTGTGGGATTTGATCGGGTGATGCCGTGTTGTTGAACTCGAGCCCCACCTCTGCTTGGATGTATCCCATTTGTGGCCTTGCATCACAAAAGTACATTTCTTTAATCAACCGGTTTTATTTTAAAATATCACGTTTGGTAAACTTTGACTCAAAATTTTTTTTCTAATAATTCACTCAAATTCTTTATTACACATGACCAATTCCCACAAGATCCTTCTCTAGCTATGAGTTGATTAACTTTAGGTCAGAGACTTAAAGGGGGAAAACGTTACCGAAATTGAATGACAAAGGTGCGGATGAAAAGAAGCCCGAATCTCTCACTGAAGATGAAGTCGCACTGTAAGCGGGAAACAGTGGTGAGAAACATGAAGCATAAAAGTCACAGGGCTTTTTAAGTGAAATCAAACAGAAATTTAAAGTTGAGTCACAACAGCAACAATTGTTTGAATTTACTTAAAATTGTACGTACGATTGCTACAACTTGTCTTTCAAGATTTCTGTATTCCGCGCTGCTGCGATTGTTGAGTTCTTCTACAAATGGTTCTTGCAGGGTTGCTGTGAGAAGCACAACTGGTGAAGGAGCTGCAGTGATTCCAGTTGTCCTTGGCCTTGTAGTTGTTGTTGATCCTATAGGTGTAGATCAGTGAATGAGGAGTCAAGGTAAACATTATTTGGCACATTGCCAAGCACTGATACTTTGTGGTGGATATTTAGGTACACGTGGTAAATGTTTACTTACGAATGACTTTGATGGAGGCTGGATCGATACTGAGGTTGAAGGTGTTGCTTGCGTTATTCACAGCAACTCTCAAGGTTTCTGCAACAACATCGGCCTGTGGGATTTGATCGGGTGATGCCGTGTTGTTGAACTCGAGCCCCACCTCTGCTTGGATGTATCCCATTTGTGGCCTTGCATCACAAAAGTACATTTCTTTAATCAACCGGTTTTATTTTAAAATATTACGTTTCCTAAACTTTGATTTTAAATTTTTTTTCTAATAATTCACTCAAATTCTTTATTACACATGACCAATTCCCACAAGATCCTTCTCTAGCTATGAGTTGATTAACTTTAGGTCAGAGACTTAAAGGGGGAAAACGTTACCGAAATTGAATGACAAAGGTGCGGATGAAAAGAAGCCCGAATCTCTCACTGAAGATGAAGTCGCACTGTAAGCGGGAAACAGTGGTGAGAAACATGAAGCATAAAAGTCACAGGGCTTTTTAAGTGAAATCAAACAGAAATTTAAAGTTGAGTCACAACAGCAACAATTGTTTGAATTTACTTAAAATTGTACGTACGATTGCTACAACTTGTCTTTCAAGATTTCTGTATTCCGCGCTGCTGCGATTGTTGAGTTCTTCTACAAATGGTTCTTGCAGGGTTGCTGTGAGAAGCACAACTGGTGAAGGAGCTGCAGTGATTCCAGTTGTCCTTGGCCTTGTAGTTGTTGTTGATCCTATAGGTGTAGATCAGTGAATGAGGAGTCAAGGTAAACATTATTTGGCACATTGCCAAGCACTGATACTTTGTGGTGGATATTTAGGTACACGTGGTAAATGTTTACTTACGAATGACTTCGATGGAGGCTGGATCGATACTGAGGTTGAAGGTGTTGCTTGCGTTATTCACAGCAACTCTCAAGGTTTCTGCAACAACATCGGCCTGTGGGATTCGATCGGGTGATGCCGTGTTGTTGAACTCGAGCCCCACCTCTGCTTGGATGTATCCCATTTGTGGCCTTGCATCACAAAAGTACACTTTCTTTAATCAACCGGTTTTATTTTAAAATATCACGTTTGCTAAACTTTGACTTTTAAATTTTTTTCTAACAATTCACTCAAATTCTTTACTACACATGACCAATTCCCACAAGATCCTTCTCTAGCTATGAGTTGATTAACTTTAGGTCAGAGACTTAAAGGGGGAAAACGTTACCGAAATTGAATGACAAAGGTGCGGATGAAAAGAAGCCCGAATCTCTCACTGAAGATGAAGTCGCACTGTAAGCGGGAAACAGTGGTGAGAAACATGAAGCATAAAAGTCACAGGGCTTTTTAAGTGAAATCAAACAGAAATTTAAAGTTGAGTCACAACAGCAACAATTGTTTGAATTTACTTAAAATTGTACGTACGATTGCTACAACTTGTCTTTCAAGATTTCTGTATTCCGCGCTGCTGCGATTGTTGAGTTCTTCTACAAATGGTTCTTGCAGGGTTGCTGTGAGAAGCACAACTGGTGAAGGAGCTGCAGTGATTCCAGTTGTCCTTGGCCTTGTAGTTGTTGTTGATCCTATAGGTGTAGATCAGTGAATGAGGAGTCAAGGTAAACATTATTTGGCACATTGCCAAGCACTGATACTTTGTGGTGGATATTTAGGTACACGTGGTAAATGTTTACTTACGAATGACTTCGATGGAGGCTGGATCGATACTGAGGTTGAAGGTGTTGCTTGCGTTATTCACAGCAACTCTCAAGGTTTCTGCAACAACATCGGCCTGTGGGATTCGATCGGGTGATGCCGTGTTGTTGAACTCGAGCCCCACCTCTGCTTGGATGTATCCCATTTGTGGCCTTGCATCACAAAAGTACATTTCTTTAATCAACCGGTTTTATTTTAAAATATCACGTTTGCTAAACTTTGACTTTAAATTTTTTTTTCTAACAATTCACTCAAATTCTTTACTACACATGACCAATTCCCACAAGATCCTTCTCTAGCTATGAGTTGATTAACTTTAGGTCAGAGACTTAAAGGGGGAAAACGTTACCGAAATTGAATGACAAAGGTGCGGATGAAAAGAAGCCCGAATCTCTCACTGAAGATGAAGTCGCACTGTAAGCGGGAAACAGTGGTGAGAAACATGAAGCATAAAAGTCACAGGGCTTTTTAAGTGAAATCAAACAGAAATTTAAAGTTGAGTCACAACAGCAACAATTGTTTGAATTTACTTAAAATTGTACGTACGATTGCTACAACTTGTCTTTCAAGATTTCTGTATTCCGCGCTGCTGCGATTGTTGAGTTCTTCTACAAATGGTTCTTGCAGGGTTGCTGTGAGAAGCACAACTGGTGAAGGAGCTGCAGTGATTCCAGTTGTCCTTGGCCTTGTAGTTGTTGTTGATCCTATAGGTGTAGATCAGTGAATGAGGAGTCAAGGTAAACATTATTTGGCACATTGCCAAGCACTGATACTTTGTGGTGGATATTTAGGTACACGTGGTAAATGTTTACTTACGAATGACTTCGATGGAGGCTGGATCGATACTGAGGTTGAAGGTGTTGCTTGCGTTATTCACAGCAACTCTCAAGGTTTCTGCAACAACATCGGCCTGTGGGATTCGATCGGGTGATGCCGTGTTGTTGAACTCGAGCCCCACCTCTGCTTGGATGTATCCCATTTGTGGCCTTGCATCACAAAAGTACATTTCTTTAATCAACCGGTTTTATTTTAAAATATCACGTTTGCTAAACTTTGATTTTAAATTTTTTTTCTAATAATTCACTCAAATTCTTTATTACACATGACCAATTCCCACAAGATCCTTCTCTAGCTATGAGTTGATTAACTTTAGGTCAGAGACTTAAAGGGGGAAAACGTTACCGAAATTGAATGACAAAGGTGCGGATGAAAAGAAGCCCGAATCTCTCACTGAAGATGAAGTCGCACTGTAAGCGGGAAACAGTGGTGAGAAACATGAAGCATAAAAGTCACAGGGCTTTTTAAGTGAAATCAAACAGAAATTTAAAGTTGAGTCACAACAGCAACAATTGTTTGAATTTACTTAAAATTGTACGTACGATTGCTACAACTTGTCTTTCAAGATTTCTGTATTCCGCGCTGCTGCGATTGTTGAGTTCTTCTACAAATGGTTCTTGCAGGGTTGCTGTGAGAAGCACAACTGGTGAAGGAGCTGCAGTGATTCCAGTTGTCCTTGGCCTTGTAGTTGTTGTTGATCCTATAGGTGTAGATCAGTGAATGAGGAGTCAAGGTAAACATTATTTGGCACATTGCCAAGCACTGATACTTTGTGGTGGATATTTAGGTACACGTGGTAAATGTTTACTTACGAATGACTTCGATGGAGGCTGGATCGATACTGAGGTTGAAGGTGTTGCTTGCGTTATTCACAGCAACTCTCAAGGTTTCTGCAACAACATCGGCCTGTGGGATTTGATCGGGTGATGCCGTGTTGTTGAACTCGAGCCCCACCTCTGCTTGGATGTATCCCATTTGTGGCCTTGCATCACAAAAGTACATTTCTTTAATCAACCGGTTTTATTTTAAAATATCACGTTTGCTAAACTTTGACTTTAAATTTTTTTTCTAACAATTCACTCAAATTCTTTACTACACATGACCAATTCCCACAAGATCCTTCTCTAGCTATGAGTTGATTAACTTTAGGTCAGAGACTTAAAGGGGGAAAACGTTACCGAAATTGAATGACAAAGGTGCGGATGAAAAGAAGCCCGAATCTCTCACTGAAGATGAAGTCGCACT